TAGCATGATTTAATAATATGATGTTATAGATATTTCTTATTTTTTACTTGGGTCAAAGTACATTTATACTCTATATATAACAAAGATATGGCCGGGTACGGACTATGCTATGGCCTCGCGGGTAAATTTTATAGTGACTTGCCCACATACTCCCAATTTTGAGGGCTTTCGACCAGCTTTTGTTCGGCCTTCAGCGGGGCCACCTTTAAAGGCTTATTCATAAGTGTATTTAATTCATTAATTTTTTTTCATAAAGATTAAATTTTAATGACCAAAGCTTTAAATGTGGGAATTTATGAATAAAAATATTGTATCATCTTATTCATTATCTTTATTCTTATTAAAGAAGAATACCTTCATATTTTTATTTAAATACATGGAAAGGAAAATTTTAAGCATTCTACAAATATATAATAATCTAATATACAGCTTTTTTTTCTTTCTTTTTAAAACTCGATAAATAAAGAAGATAAAAATTCACTTTAAATCGATCAAATATATTTAAAATAGTATATTTATAGTAATTACAATGTTATTATAGATTTTCTTATTATTTATGAACATGAAGATTAGAATTATTATTATTAGTAGATTATATAATTTTTAATATTAAATAAAATATGATTTCAACTCATCTAATTTTAGCAATATTTTTTTTATAACCAAACAATTTCCTATTAATTTTTATTTTGAACAACCTTATTAAGGATGAGCACTTGTTTAAAAAAACTTGGTTAAAAATAATTTCGTTTTTGTTAAGATAAACCAATCGATAAAAATATTTTTTATCAAAAAATTCTTGTACTATATTTAATAAATAATCTATTTCTTTAACAAAAAAAGACCCAGATAATTAATTTATCCATTTAGGAGAAGTGAGAAGGAATAAATTAAAATATTAGAGATTAAGTTATAATGGAATCCATTGGTCAGTCATAAAAAGAGAAGAAAAGAACGAACTTTTAAAAAAGGAATTTCGCAATTGAACATTGAAAGTTAACCTGGGGCATGGTCCGACCAGGTTCCCGGTTTAAATTTCTAACCGGGTATGGCCTGGCGAGTATTTAGCTATAAATTTATACATTGGACGGGGTCGGGTGCACGCGTGTTAAAAAATATAAAATAATGGGTGGGTAGGCGAATTTGAAATATATTTCGGGATGAAATGAGCTGAACGGATTATATTTTATTAAAAAAATAAATAGAGCCAAACAATGCAATAAAATAATTTTTAAACAGCGAAAGCAGACTGATTAAACAAAATTAGATATAAATGAGCGGGAGAGTGAATTTAAATTGACATAATGCCAAATTTATAAAACTAGAAATGTAAAATATATTAACGAGAATCTATTTAAATATTTCTTGCCCTTATTTAAATAAATATTGTTATATAATATTTTTATATAATTAATTTTTACTTATAATAATTATAGATTTATATAAAAAATGAAGCATAAATTGTAACATTAAAATTGTTTTATTAATTGTAATGTTATAAAAATGAGCCAATAATTTGACTAAACTGCAAATGCCGCGGTAAAATACAAATGCTAAGGTAAACTGCAAATGCGTAGGTAAAATGTTTTTTATATTCTCTATTAATTGATGTGAGATTCATTTCCTTATGATATAAACAAGTTATAAAAATTAAATGACTACATATAATCTATTAATATGTTTAAAATCTTATTACATAATTATATTTTTAATAAATAAAATTAAAAATATATATTTCAATCTGCAAGATGGTGTTTATTGTTTTTAAATTCCTTATTTAAATATATATAACTATTATTATAAATTTTTTATCATTCTAAAATATAAACGATTAAATAAAGTAATATCTACATATAAAAGTATATAAAATAAGATTTAATAAAACAGATATATAATATATTTTTTTGAATGAATGAATGTTTTGATCTAAAAACAATTACAATTTACAATAAGATATAAGCTATAAAAATAAAACATATTTTTAAAAAAAATAGTATTAAAATAATGTATTAAAAAATAAACGTGAAATTAATAACGTTGAATGTTATATTAGAGATCTGCAAAAGTAGGCCCGGGCCAAGCCTAATATTTTTTAAGAAAATTCGGGCCGGGTCGAGTCGGGCCTTAGAAATTTTTTAAAATATATCTAAATTTATCAATTTTATGTTGAATTTTTTATATATAATAAAAATATGTGATTTTATTTATAGACCAAATAACATATCGTTTATTTTGAATTAAAAAATTAAATTAGGGCGGGGCCGGACCTGAGCGGCAAAATTTAAAAAAAAAAATTACTGGATCGGGCAGGGCAAAACTTTATAAAAAAAATTTCGGGCTTAAAAAATTAGGCCCGATGCAGATCACTATGTTACATATCATTACCCGTAATAAAAGGTAATATAAATGAATGTTTTTATTGCTTCCGAACTATTTATATAAATATGACTCTAACGAATGATATATTTTATCAATTTGTATAAAGAATTTATTATAATAATTTTTTTTATTCCTAAAAATTAAATTCAATTTTATTAACTAATATAACTTAAAATAAGTCTTACCATTCATCCTAGCAAACAATTAATTTGAAATAAGGTATTTGAAAACAATAAACGCCAACTTGCGAATAGAGTATTATTGAATTATATATTTTAATTTATTTTTTTATACATAATTAAATAATAAGATTTAATCATATATTAAAGATTAAATAAAATAAAATTTTTAATTTGTTTTACTTTATTATTAAATATATGTAGTAATTTAATTTTTATAATTTGTTTATATCATAAGAAAATGAATGTTATATAAATTAATAGGTATATAAAAACATTTTTACCTAAGCATTGCAATTTAGTCAAACCTCGAATTTGTTTAATTAAATAGAAAATAAAATTAATGGTTAATATATTGTTTAGAACTGTCCACTCCCACCCTAAATTTTACAATTATGCGTCTCGCCATATTTGAAATATATTTAAATTTAATATAAATAATTATTCGTCATTAGATGTTATATTGGAACTCTATCTCAGTAACTTGAAATATATTTAAATTTAATATAAATAATTATTCGTCATTAGATGTTATATTGGAACTCTATCTCAGTAAATCACTAGTTTTTCCCCAATAAATTTAACAAACTGTCAGGCTCTCTAAAAGACCCTCACCCCCCTCTCAACACATCACCTCCCATATGGGAAATGGCAGAGTTGGGCAGTACCGCGAATACTTGTATCTAAGATACAAGATACAAAATCCATACAAAATCCTTTTGTATCTTGTACTCAGTATCTTTTTGAAATTTTTTAATAAGATACTAGTATCTGTATCTAAGATCCTTTATTCTGAAAAGAATCTTGTATCTTTTTCATTTTCATTTCCTTAAAAGATACAGATACAGATTCTTTTTAATATTCTTATTTAAAATTTTACATATCACAGTTTATATTTTATTTTCCTCGAGAATATTAGTTCCCTTATTTTTTTCCGCCATATTTTAAATATGATGACAATCAAAATTAGCTGGAAAATTTACAACTCATATTAAGGTAGATAGGTAAAAAATAACACCAAAACGAAATAAGTTAAGATTATATTATATATATAAATGTTAATCGATAGAATATCATTACCAATTTTATGTAATATTTTTTAATTTGTAGGATGATTAATACTCATGGTAGTGAAATTTAAATTATGGAATTAAGTTCCCGTGAATCAAATCCCAATCTTAAAATTTTATATGGAAATTTTTTAAAAATAAAAGTTAAAAAAGACAATGAACAGGCTAGATGTAAACCCTTTATATACAAAAAATGATAAAGGTTTAAACACATATTTTGTTAAACATATTAAAGTATACTATTTATGTGTGGTTAAAAGAGCATGAGTTATCTTATTCAATTTTACAATATTGTCTACCTTTATTAAAGCTGCCCAAGATGAGAAAGAAAGAAAGAATTTTCCTGTGATATATATAATGAGACTTTTTTGACATCAATATCAAATCCATATTTTAAGAACTTATGGATTGAGACAGATGATAAAAAAAATACTATCAAAATATATTAATAAAAGAAGCCCTGTACCAGGTATATAAACAAGCTCAAACTATAACACCAATAGATTTAATATCTAATAAAGAAAATTGATTATTTTTCTTTTGGTGAAACAAATGCTGAGTTCAATAATACAAATAACAACTGGATGTTTAAATTATATTAAAGGAAGTCGAAATATAATTACCCTTCCATTAAGGAAATAATTTATAAATATAATAATGCAATATTTATATCAGCTCCAATTGAAAGGTTATTTAGTTTTGGTACAATGTACGCCGAAAGTGCAAAAATGACTAATGATAAATTATTTGAAAAATTTAATTATTTTATAAAATAATGAATCTATTTTAAATACTCTTTTGCAAATTAGTATTTCAACTTCCATTAAAAATACTAGTCTCCCTTCCCTATCTATGCTAAGAATGGGCTATTATTAATAATATTAAAATGTCTGACTATTATAATTAACTAATCATTAAATATTTTATTAATTATTGTAAATATTCATTCATATTATATGCGAGTGTTATGTTCATCAAAAATAAATAATAAAACTGTATTTTATAAACTATTCTAATTTAATTGGTAATGATAATTTAAAAGTATCTTGTATTTAAGATACTCTAATTAGGCAAAAGATAAAAGTATCTTTTATCTTGTATCTTTTTGATATTTTGAAAAAGATACTAGTATCTGTATCTAAGATTCATTTTTTCACAAAAAAACTATATCTGTATCTAGATTCTTTTTCAGGAGGACCTGTCCAACTCTGGGAAATGGTATTGTAGAGTGAAATTTTGGTTCTAATATAATCTTTAAAAAGATGGTCTATCTTATATTAAACTCATAAGAACCATCTATCCCGTAAATAATAATCAGTATTTTTCCCTTAAATTAGGTAATCGGGAATAATAAATAAAATATGATACTTACGCGTTATCCTCAGACTTAGTTTTGGAGAAAAGGTGGTGAATGAACCCAGTCCCACCTACATTATTAGCACTAGAAACCTTACGAGCATCGTTCTGGGAGACCTCAGTCACTTGTTTGTGTTTATTTTGTTCTTCTTTCCCATCGTCGTTACTCTCTCCGTTTACCTGACCTTGAGACAGCTCTGATCCTTCTTTCTCTGACCCCTCTATTCCATCTTGATTATCTTGGATCTGGCCGGATAAGCTTTTATACTCAGATCGCTTTACCACAGTTTTCTCATCTCCGTTCAGTTCTTCGAAATGCTTCTTAGAAATTTCTCTGGAACGCTTAGAACTTCCTTCTTTAGTAGAGCTTTTAGAGGAGCTTTTAGACATATCCGATTCGGAAGGCTCCTCTTGTTCCACCACAACTGAGGGTTGCTGATGCCTCAGTAATATCGAAGTGGAGGTAAGGTATCTTTTTTGCTTCTCTTTCTCTTTGTCGAAGGAGGTAGAAGGAGTTGTTTTCGTCTTAGTATCGCGCGGCTCTGAAAATGTTGTTTTACTGTCAGTCCCTTTGTCGTAGGAAGGAAGTTGAGATGCGTGGGTAACCACTATTATGCGGGGTTCCGAAACGGCAAAAACATGACTTGAGAGGTGAGTTGTAATTTTTTTAAAAAAATGAACATTATTTGAAATAAATTTTGAAAAATAAAATAGAAGCGTGGCCATGATTAGGAAGATATATTTTATACTATCTTATTCCCAAAAATCTTCCATATAATTCAAGTTAACGCGATACTTATAAAAATTATTTGATGTCTGGTTTAAATCGAAGGACGATGTAATTATTATCAAAAGTTCGAAATCGAACCTTGAACTTTAAAGTTATGAATTCACATTCAGAAAGCCATGCCTGACAGACTAGAGTTATACTATTCAAGGAGAATACTAGTTCCACTTTCAGAAACAAATGAAAGCTCTTTATAACTTCTTATATTACTAGTATAATGAAGACATATCATATTAATACTCTGATACAACATCTATTTAATAAAATATAGATCCAATAATATTATTTTACTAGTTAAACATATTTAAATAAAATAAGGCTTAAGCATGGATTAGGCAGTAGCTGAGAATATAATTGTAATTACAAGAAGAAGAAAGCAATAAATAATCCTTTTTATTTATTTATTTCCTCCATTATTTTTTTAAATGTTGAAATTGACATATGACGTTTTGAATATGAAGTTGGTTTTGAAGATACCATCGCATACTACATGAAAAGAAAATCGAAATTATCAACGATATTTTATGCTGAAATTGAATATTATGAATTGAAATATTTAATTTCCTTTAGCAATAACTTTAGAAATTACAAGGTTGTTATAGAAGAAACTTGTCATAATTCGTAAGCTAGGTCTACTGATCTTTAGAATTCAATCTAAGCAAATTTTTCCATTTTAGCTATTATTTTGCTTCTTTTTTAAACTTAGATGGGTTTAGTCCTAGAATAAAATTAAAGCAATGACTAGCATCTAAAACTATATATTAGGTGATTGGAAGATCCCCAAACGAGTTCTTGATAATAAATAAAGTCAAATATAAAAGTATCCTTATATTGTGTGCTGTGAGCCAATCAATGTGATAATGTTTTCCTCCTTAAAATAATACTTATGCTCATAATCCCATAAATAAAATGAACTTGAAGTTCTTACTTATTTAAAGGATGAAAAAGAGCGGATTGATTTGATATGGTTTTCCTATATCAAACAAAGGTTAACTAATTAAATTATATAGTTTAATATAGATAATGCATTGTAATTTCATGTTGAACTTTTTCCTAAAATTTTTGAATATTATTACTTGTAATTGGTTATCAAATTGTTATTTTCAAATGAGCAATTTGCAACAACAAATATAAATATAATAAATTATTCTCTAAAAATATAAAATATGCCCAATTCTGTTTAAAGAAATAAATAGGGGTTTTAAAATTACGTTTTATAATGAGGTGTCGCGTGGTGTCTATCATGAAGGATAGGTTCTGTGTAGGACAATGAATGGGAAAGGTGGGTGCTTAGAAGAGAAACGTCGGCAGCTTCCCTCCTGCTGTTGTAATATAAAATGGCAGGACAAGAATCGACGTCATTATAATCATTATAATCTTTGGGGGTCTCTATGCTGTAATCGGGCGTCATGGACCTGGTTCTTTTGGGGGAGAGAACGATGTTTTCAACGACGTTTCGTTTTAAGTCACCTGCGATTTATATATTATAATATGTTTTTAAATTGTAAAAAAAAATATTATTTGATTGATTAGAAAAAATCACAATTCAAATTTGCGAAATAAATAATTAATTCCTATATTCCAAGCGCTTACTTTGTTTTAAATTGCTTCAGGACATAAACTATGACTCTAAGATCCACCACTTAAAATGGAATTGATTCGCGGTTCAACCCACTGTGACCCTGCCCGCACTAAATATGTAACCTTATAAATTTGGATAAGAGTTACTTATTACTTATAAGGCTTTTATTTTTAACTCGAAATACTCACAAAATTAATAATACTAATATAATTGACATTTTCGCATTTTTGTCAGACATTTTCTCTTTTAATTGAAATTGTTTCCTTTTTTTATGAGAACTGTATTTTATAAATACTACCCTACCTGAATATATATATAAAAACTACCAACTTGATTTCTCTATACGTTATCATTTTTAAAATTAAAATAAAAAAAATTAACATAAAAATATCTTCCGCCATTCATTCACTTCAAGCGAGAACTCGGAATGTTTCGAAATTGAAAAGCGAATCCAGATTCTTGGAAAAAATTTCAGATTCCAGGAACACTTAGAATTAATTAACATTGGTACGGAACATCTTTAAATCTTAAAAGCAACTATAACAACGAGAATATATTTTTTTTAATCTTAAAACAACTGGAATGAATGAAAAATAAATTTTCTAGCTCCAATCCTTTGATTTTCATTTATCTGTTTGTTTTCTCATTCCCGTATATATATATTCTCTTCGCTACATTTCATTACCGGAATGCGTAAATTGAGCGATTTTTGAGGAGTGTGTGCGGTGGGATAAATGCGATAAATCAATGGAAGATTGTATTATGGTAGTAGTGGTGGTAGCGTTTGAGTAAACAGGTTGGTATGACGTCGGAACCACTATTTTTGGCAATATCCTGGGAGAACCTTTTCTATGGCGCGTCTGGTTGGAAATCAAATTAACTGAGAGGGCTTCGGACGTGTCTCGAGGAGATATGGAGAATTCTGAGTAGGTTTAATCGATATATCATAAAATGGCGTGTTATAGGGAAAATGCCAAAAAAAAATTTTTGTCAATAGAAAAATATCGTCAAAAAAATTAATAATATTTATTTAATGTTTATTACTTGATTTTGTGAATAATTCAACGTGAGGAGAAGTGGGTATAGATGGCAGTAACCTCCGACTTAATGATGGAGTGTATGTTATAGAATTATTCAATGTGGATGTGACAGAATGGCTAGAGTAATTATTAGAATCCCTATGGGAAGTGAGCGAATAAGATTTAGGCAGGCAGGCTATGTGATTGGAATACGAGGTCAACGTCGATGTGTCATTGAGACTATTAACGTAAGCCAGACTTGAAAAGGCGTTTTGAGTAGTAAGATTGGTATAAGAGGTGTCGAAATTATTTGAAGAAGCATAATCAGCTACACAATTGATGCTCTGAAAAGCAATGCTAGAATCAGTGGCAGGGATATCACCGTTAGTGTGATTGAATCCTGTAGGTAAAACAAAGTATAATTTTGAGACTATCAGGTTCTGGTTTAAAAGCCAGGCCTTTAAAATCAATTTTTTAAAATTCGGACTAGACCAGGTAAACTTTTAAAAAAACCAGGACACAAGTACCTTTCCTAGTTTAAATAAATAATTATTTTTTTAAATGAATTGAATTTCTCGGAAAGTTCAGACTATTTTCTCCCAAGCCATGTTCCGATTATATATTGTTTTTTAAAAAAATAAAATAATTATAAAAAAACAAAGATGTAATTTGTTAAATCATCTAATTCCTACTAATACGGCGTTAGTCAAGTTTTTACGCTAAAAAAATTGACTAGTCATAACTTGAAATTAAGGCAAATTCTTAAGTATACTTTTTAAGCCGTTTTAGGGTTAGCTAAGGTTAGGTGAATAAGAAAGTATCCTAAAATTAGCAAATTATAGTTTATTGGACAGGCAATGGATATTCAGCTTGTAAGAATAGAGTATATTTGATATAGATTTTTAGATATATAATTATTAATTGTTAATGTTTTCCATTAGAAGAGAGGGGTAAGGTAAAAATGAATTACGATTTAAAATTTTACATAAATTATATGTTATATTTCAATGTTTGAAAAAAAAGAAAAGTTGTAATAGATGATTTTTATTCTTCTCAATAATTTTTTTTAAAAAATGTTATAGGTGTATTCTGTAGTTTTTGAAAAATAATCATTTTTCTACTTATTGGGTAGGTTATAAAATTTGGAAGAAATGTTAAATTTATTTTAAAAAATAATATGTTTGTAAAAAAAAAATATGCTCTAAAAAATGTGGAGATTTTACATTTTATATTAATTTGGAAGAAAAATGTAATTATTACTCGAAGTATCACTAACTCCGTTGGTCAATGTAGAGGGTTGATTGAATTGATGGGCGGAGGCGTTGTGATGATGCAGGGCGGGAAAATTAGCGTCGCTTATGTAATCGCTATCTTCTGAAAACCCGGTGACTGTGTTATAAAAAAAAATTTGAGTTATTAAATTATAAAACAATTTATGTACAAGTGAATTTTAAATTTATTGTCACGTAATTCCTTGTAATTTACCAGCTAAAAAAGGAATCAATAATTAATATTCAGGCTATTCAACATGCAGCAAAAGTAAAGTTTTTTATATTAAAAAAATTTATCGCTTGTTAATAGCTTTTTCTACCAGTAGTTTATAAAGAAATAATAAGATAAACAGAAATAATCCCTAACTCTCGCTTTTCCCTTAATAATAAAGCTACGCATTTAAAGGGTCAAAAAAAGATTTGATGAGATAATTATCCACTTATCCACCAAAAGATATTAGGCATGCGTATTGGATATTAAACATAACTGTGATAATTAGCAAAAAGATATGTCCAAGAAAAACATAAAAGAGACAAGATAGGCAGCCATTCCATGCAACTAATTTTATTCTTAATTATTTTTTCTTAGATTAATTTACGATGGACTAGATTTGGATGCCTCCGCCTTTGATTTTGCAAAGTTGTTAGCTAAATTCAAACAAAAAAATTTATTGAATAGGAATTAAGGGTATTTATAGGCAAAATATTTCGTATCAGGTCAATTGAGTAAAACATTTATCGCGAAACTTTTATCGCGAAGGAATTTTAGAGCAAAGATGAGGAAAAAAATTTCTCGAAACATTGGCCAGTCAATACATAATCATATACTATGTGTTAACTGGCCATAATATATTATTTAAGAATTTTATTATAAATATGAAATAATAAAATATTAAGTACTTGTAAAAGACCTACATTAATATTTCTACATTTTTTAGTTATATAAAAAATTAATTATACATTAATTTAATTAGTATTAAAATCTCAATTTATTACCACATCTATTTAATGATTATATTATAAATTAATATCTTAATTATCATTATACTAAACATTCTTAAGCTTGTACATCCTAAACATCTTTAAGCTTGTACATCATTTTATTTCACCAAATGTTGTTTTGCAAGAGCTTTTCATATGTGCGAATTATGGCCAATCAATGCATGGCCAATCAATACTCACCTCTCTATTATTATTAAGCGCCTTTATATGTCTATTAAATAAATCTTTTAAAGTCTAATTTTTAGTGTGAATAATCCTAAATGCCTAAGGATAATATTTATATCCTAAGGATAATATTTATATTAAATATCAGTAATCTAAATTAATAATTATTTCACAAAACAAAAAAATGTGTAACGTGATTTTTCCAGAAAGAGGTACTAAAAACAGTTTATTTGAAATATTTTTTTATTGAATTGCTCTATTCAATAAATGAACTTAGGTAAGGTACATATCATAAATATACACATTTTGACCAATTATGAGAGAAATTGATCCAATAGATAAAAAGTTAAAGGGTGATGGCCAGTCTTCACACATATGGCACATTTCCCCTACTATATTTTTCGTTCTATCATGATGCCAATTATGAAAATTTTCTTATTTTGGTAGTAACTTTTTATTTATACTGTCAACCAAACAAAATTATCAGCGGCAGGTGCGAGTTTTAAAAATCTAATTAGTCAGCGTAAACTTAGGCGGCGTAAATCGATGCCCCATAAATATTTTTATTTTTAAATTGATAATCGAATTTTAAATTAAAAATAAAATATACACAACAGAAATATAGTTATATTTTTAGACTTTATATAAAAGAAAACCAATTATGAATTTAACCTCAATTTTGTAATTTTATAGTACATGAATGAATTCTTAAATTCACCATCAAGACAGGGTAGAGAAAGCCCTTTGTCTAGGTGTGCTAGTTGCCAGAACAAAAATTTTTTAGCTGGCGTGGTAAGATTGTAAGATTCGATCTTCTTTTCTCTCCAAAAATTAAGAAAACATATCCAGAGAATAGCGTTTTTTAAGATAAATATGGCATTCCTGTTCTTAGTCACTTAAAATGGAATTATTAATTTACTAGTTGTAGAATTTTTATTTTCTAACCTTATCAAAGAGTATGTATTTGATATCTCCTCTTGGTTTTCAATTTCTAAATTTACTAATTTAATATCATGCTCTATAGGTTTAAGGTGTTTAATAAATTCCGAAGGTGTGCAATTATGCTCTATTAGATATTTTGTCACAATGTTTAATTTATAAAATCTTAGGAAGAAAAAAATAAAAAAATTTTTAAAATAAAGTAAATTAAATACTTATTACCTACATATAGCAAACAGGTAATCCGTAAGGCAAGTTTTTTCTAACATATTTTCTTTAAGTGAAATAATTTCCGAGATCATAATCACTTACTATTAAATGCATCTATTTCACTTCTGAAAAGTAATGCTGAGCTCTACCCTTTTTTGGTGAAGATAGATATTCAACTGTTTTATTTTTTAAAAAAACTAATAGTTGTTCTATGAGATCCGATTCATAGTTTGAAAATTTGAGATGATGGTTTTAAATTATTTTCAAAACATTAGTAATTAGATTTTTTATTTGTTCCAGATATGCTTTCGAGCTTAATTAAAATTCCATGCCACCTGGTTGGGACATTTAATTTTAATGTTCTCATTTGAGAGGCATTATTAATATAATCCTTGGAATCACCAATTTGAGAACTTGTATTGTGGTGATTAGTGCTATCAGGATCTATTACATCCGATTTGGATCTATTGTACTTATCGATTTTCTCTAATGACATTATAAAATTACAACAGGGATGTTGACCAATTATTAGAATAAAAATGTATAAAATATATAAATTATTTTTAAAAAGAATTTATGCGTTAGCCGTGCGCCAAAGTTAGGGCGGCGCGACACCGTGATTTTCACAATGCATTATCGGCGTGATCAAAAATATCGCCGGCAATAGGTCTAATTACAATTAAGCATAATGACTTAAGCTTCAGAATTAATGCTTGCAAAATTGGCAAATTTAATGCTTAGTTGCGTCTTGACATTAGATTCAGATTCTCAAAATTTATGAAAATTATTATTTTACTTTTTAATAAACAGAAAAGATAAAAAAAAATATCCATAAATATCGTAAAATCATAAGATAAAATATTTTTAATCAAGTACTAATCAGGCAATAAATTTTGCCACAACCCAGATATCATCTTCACCAGTCAAGGTTAACTAACCCCAATGATAAATATATTCTTAAAGCCGCGATTCTTATAAAATATGACTTCGAAAAAATATAGGACATAGTTGCATAGGAAATTAAATTCCAATAATAAATTTTCTAAACCAATTCTAAGCCCAATAATCATTATTTAAATTTATTAAGGCTAAAAAAATTAAAAGCATTTCTATTTTTTTAAAATATTATTTAACTTATATTGTCTTAAAAATAAATGTTTTTAAAATAAAATAGTCACTATTAGAAATTATGGCGTTATTTAATTCGTGTTAAAAATTTTGCCATAAAATCTATTTGCGATAAAAGTTTTGCAAAGGCGAATAGTTTGGCTGAATTGACATGGAGCCAAATTTTTAAGAGTGACCGGAAATGCTTATAATAGTTAAACTTTTAATTAAAAATTATTTTATTTAAAAAAAATATTATTATAATTTTCATTACTTCTTGATCCATAATGCTGTTCAGAACTTCCAACTTCTGTTGAAGTTCCAAGGCTTCCGCGTCCTGAAGATCTGCCGATGAAACGTTCATGAACGAATTCAAAAATTATTTTTTATTGTAAATAATGTTATTTATTTCTTAAAAAAAAGATTAAAAATTTTATGCCACTTAAAAATTTTTAGAAAAAATATATTATTTCGAGAAGAGAAAAAACCCCCGCTTTAGACCTATTTTTTATATAAACGCAAAAGCTAAAAATCAGAATGTCTTTTCCGCTAAAAAAAATTTTTCTCTCTTATAAAATATATTTGTTAAATTTCCTAATTTTCTTTTAAACGCAATTTATTTTTTTTTACATTTTATGTATATAAAAATAAGCGCTTGATTTTATGAAATGTTTCCCCCTTTTCGTTATTGGAAAAATAGCAGCAAAAAAATTTTTTCCTTCTTAGAATGAATCTTCGGAATTAAAATTATAGTATAAAATATATTAATAATAAATATAAAAATGGTTAATGTCACATTCGTATTTTTAAAAAATCTTCATATAAAATGACATGCTAATTAATAAGAAGGAAAAATATTTTAATAAACGATATTATATAAATTTATATTATCCTTTTCGATATTCTTTATTATGTGCAAATTTCAAACTATTTCTCTTAACTCAACATTTCCTCATAAATTAAGAATGATTTTAATAAAACCTCAAAATGAGTTTCAATTATAAAATATAAACCATATGGCAGTTCAAAATGAGCATCTATGAGCACTTTGTGTCCAGTAGGTGTGCAGGTACCAACAAGTATACCGTCTCGCATTTCTATTTCACTATCCATGGATAACCATTTACCTTCTCCGTTCTGCGAGAAAAAAAATACGCGAATTTCAAACAAAAAAAAGTAAGTAACTTAAAATAGTTGTTTATTTTAACTTAAAAAAAATTCTATTAAAAAAGAGGTACTTGATTGGTATGGGGTAATAAAGCCAAGGACACCCATTGAGTCCCGAGTAATTTGTCCCATAGCATACCTTTGTTCCATAATTCTATAATTAATCCAATGTCGGTGCGAGTTGTTTCGCTATAATGTTTTTTTTGTAAATTATAATCAATATAATTTTTTCTCGTTGTCAGAACTTTTTCTTAAAAAAAGGATGGCGGCAGTCATGACAGAAATAAAAATTAAATGCTATTATATAGTTCCAATCCAATGACCATTCTATGAAACCAAATGTTGGCTTAATAATGTATAAAGGATTTTTTATTTATTTAAGTCCTTCTATCTTACTTTATTTCTTTGGGAGTTTTTCGAGTTAATGGATAAACAATATAAAAATATAAAGGTCAATGATAAAAAAATACTAACAACATAAAATCTTGTTCCCAGCATGGATTAATTCCTTTTACGGCGACTGTCGTCGATTTAACGCTTTGCAATTTTAGAGTGACATACGTGTAAAAATCATCTTGGGAATAAAAAATTATTTTTTTTAGTAGAATTTTTTATATAAATGAGGAAAGGAGGTGATGTGTAAAGGTCAATTTTCAGGCATAGAGATGATTTGGTGATAAAAATTAGCAAATAGTGCAAGAATATAAGAAGATGAAAAGATCGTTCTTTCTTCTTTCTCTTTTCATTTAAATGTCTTTCTTTTCTTTACCTTCTCTAAATAGTATATAAATTTTTTAAAAAACTCCAGAATTTGAAGACAAAGGATAGAGAAATATGATCGGTTAGAATTACAAATTTGGTATAAAGATAGAGAAAGAAAATTAAGGTTATAAAAAATTCATATTTTATTTATTCACCTGTATTTCCCAATAATTGAGCACTCTTCACTGCCAATCGAAATAGTAAATATAAATTTTTTTTTAAATTGAAATAAAAATATTATTTTAAATATTTATAATGATGGGAAAAAAACAAATTATCACAGGTTTTGGAATAAAAAAATAAAACTATCTTCACTTCCTACATAAATATTGTCCAGCCAAATCGATTTTTGGAGCCCGAATATCGGTGGTAGATTCAGGCCCGGCACAACATTCGGCCTTCTAACTGAAATTAAAAAATATATCTCAAACTTAAAATAATTTATTTTATTCTCTAAATCCCTTCGTCTTATTATTAATATTTGTATTAAGTTTTAAATATTCATATTTTATATTTCGATTTCTAAACATTTAAGTAAATTAAATGAAACTTATTTTAAATAATTTTTAGATATAAAAATAAATGATAAAAAATTGAAAACATCGGGATATATAAAAGCGTTCGTTTTCTAAAACATAACCGGTATTTTTAAAAAAAATTATTAGCTGCTTTTTCCCTGATGAAGTCGGTAAAGAATAATTTTTATAAAAATCAAACATTTATAGAACTTCAACTCCATCTACTGATTTTAATTGTTTGATATAAAATCAATCTTTTTTGGGGTCCAGACCATAGGTGTTATTAAAAAATATTACGCAAGCCTTGAGATTTTGATAATGGATGGCAGAACGGTTTAGACATCTATTAACGGAATCTCGAGGCTTGCATAATATTATTTTGGCTAAAATCTTAATTTAAACTCCGCTGAGCTATTGAAAAATATAAAAAGCAATATATAAAAATTTAAAACTGTGACCAAAACTTATTAATCAAAAGTGATTGATAATAATCTTAAAACAATTCGGATATAAATTAGAATTTTAGCAATATAAAGGTAATAACTTTCACATTATTTTTTAAGCATAAAATCATGAGGTTCAAGGACCAGTTCCCAACATTTTTGGCGGTTGATTCAGGTTCGGATAGAAAATCATTTAGCGGTTCAGGTGTGATAAAAAATATCAGTGTTTCGGTTTGGATCCCCAACTATGAATTTTGAAAATAAGGAGTCAACAAGAAACTATGCTTTTCGGCTCCGTGTCCAAAAGATATCGGTTTTCAATGTAATATTTTTTTAAAAAAATCTTATAAAATATATTTTGCAAATAAACGGCAGAGTTTAAAAAAAAATAACGGGCCACAAATTTGTAAATTATATCCTGAATATAAATTAATTGTATCGCCTATGATGTAAAGAAATATATTAAAGAGTTTAACGACCAATTAATCAATTACTAAATAGAGATATTAATTAGTAATCAATAAAAATTTCACTGAAAAATTTTTTAAAATTGAAATTTATAAATTTTTAAAAATTATATGATTATTTATATTTTACAAGAAAAAGTTTATAAATGTTCCTCTAATAACCTCTATATATGTTATCTTGATAATTGTTATATAAAAAATAAATAGGAGAGGGGGGCTAACCGTATGCGGCAACATAAATGATAATTATGTTTTTGTATTTTAAGCCCGCTTATTTCTTCAAGGCCGGATAAACAAAATCAATAACTAAGTGGATCAATTGATTAATTACTTATGTCAATATTTAATTTTAAATAATTCGTGATAGATTTTTAAATACATATTTTATATAATAAATACCTTGCAAAAAAAAACGTAAAAAAAAATGATGCACTATTTATATTATACATGTATTATAGGTAATAATATTAACAAATTCGTGATTGATTAGAACCTGGAAAAGGGAATTTAATTAAGCGTAATCTAGGGGGATATTACGTTTCTATATATTAAATATAATAATTATGAAGAAAATGTGAATTTCTTATTAAAGGTAATTTAAATATCTTTCGCTCATTAAAAAAAATAAATTTTATGTTATAAGATTTCCGGGTTTTGAACATATTTTTTATTGTCTCGAGTTTTTGCTTGACTATTACTTTTAGTCATGATCGGAAGAACTCGACTAATTAACACTACTTCTCTTCTTTCGCATTTTTCCAAAATTTAAATATAATTATTAATTAATATAAAAAAAATAGGGAAGGGAGGTGTAAGGAAGTGTGTGGGTAAGAAGGGAGATACTCTTAGAACGTGGGAGGGGGGATTAAGAGATGCCAAACGTTGAATCCTGCAGGATCGGTCAGTCAGCATGATTTGTGAAAAACTTCATCAATAATAAGGAATGAGTATCTAACAAAGGTAACTACTGGGTGGCAGTGAGTTCAGGTTAAAAATAAATCGATTTTGGAATTTCCTTTTTTGTTAATTTTGACTTGGTATGGTAAGAGGGGGGTAAGGAATATATTGGGTATGGCTAAATCGGTTCAATCTATCAGCGCGTGACGGAGAAAATTCGTCAACATTAAGGCGTTTTAATTTATATTAATTTCTTTCAAATATTGACATTTTCGGCTAAAAACTGGGACTCGTCAATTTTTTATCAGGCTAAAAATTGGCTTAAACGGTTTATAGTAATTACCAAACCAGTAAGGAGTAATCTCGTCATTGATCTAGGGGAAGTATAGAAGTGCTTAAACATTTACTTATTTTTATCAAATGAAAGTGTCAATATAAATCTTAATATACTATTTAGAGGGAAAAAATATCATATTATAATCCTCTTCTACTTCTATCGTTTTTATTTGTTTCCGTCCTTAATTGATTCGTTTGTTAAATCGCGCTTTATCAGATCATTCATAAACGCGAAGTTTAATTTATTTCTCTCGAAATAAAAAATGAACCTAAGAAAAGAAAAGAATCCTTTGAAATTTTAAATCTTAACAAATCATTTAGGGAACTAAAAAAATGACAGTATTAAAATTGGATAATAATATTTATAAATATAAAAAAATATTTATTTTTTGTAAAATCGATATATCGTGTAATGTGTATTTGTAATTATCTATTAGATCAATTTATTTTTTTTAAATAAAATATTTAATCCTCCCTCATATTAATAAATTTTCAAAAGAAAAAAAGACTTAATGGTATTATAAATAGATATAGACATTTTACTACTACTTTAAAAATACTTAAATTTGAGAATATATTATAAAAAACCATTAATCTTATTTTAATGCATATATTCATGACGTAACAACCAGGGTAGAAGACGGAGCTACATTGATGCACGCCTGAAAATTTACATGGAAACCACAATTCTTTTTTTTAATCACCCGCCAAACAATGACTTTCTTCATTTCAAACCAATTCCATCTTCTATTCATTCCTACCCTCCATTTCTTCCTTTTCTCTTTATTACCAAAATTAAAAATTATAACTATGAAATAAAGTAGCTCGAATATTATAGGGTTATAAAATAATTAGAGGTTTCTAAACTCATTAAAAATTTTATTCAAGGTCACGCAAATAAATTCAGTTTGTGAAAATGATTAAAAAAACTGAATACATAATCCGTATAAATTAACTACAGAGGGTAGTTTTAAACAATATTTCGATTACTTTAAAAATATGGATATTTTAATAAATACAACTAATAATCAGATGATAAAAATTTTAATGTGCAGACGATAGAAGTATCCAAATTTTTAAAAATAATATTTAGCTTTGGGTTGCCATATTTTATACCTAAGCACTCGACTCCACTTTTGGTCGAAATTGAATTGGTGTTTAAATTATTATCCTTAGAGATCCCTCCACTTCACAAATACATCAACCCCCCCCCCCCACCTCCAAGTTAAATCTTAAATATCGCTGCTTGATTATTAAGGGTTCTATCTTCACTTTTTGTCGAAATTAAGTTAGGGCTGAAATATTATTATGGGACCCTTCCTTTCTACCACTTTAAGTTCAAAAATAGCCCTTAAATTAATTTCAAATATTTTTTTTTATATAATTCAAATATAATTCCTATAATAATGACCAGATGGCATGTTGTTAATTTTTTAAATAGTTCAGTAAAAAATGATAGATAACAAGTAAGACTTTTATTGATAAAAAATAAAATAAAATAAATGACAAGAAAAAAATAATGGTTTATTTTCGTATTTTATTTATATTTTATAGGTTTTTAATATTATAATTATTTTTATTTTAAAAGTAGCAATGAACTCCATCTAGCTTTAATATATTAGTGCAATATAATATTATATTTTTTAAAAGTCCAGATATCTCAAAAAAAGAAGAGATAATTTCTATTAAAAATCAATTTTTAGTGATTAAATTTTATTTTGAAGAGGGACACCCATCACTGGCTAATAATGAAATTCATCGACATGATAAATATTTTAAATTTTTTGACGGTGATCTCTATTTTGCGCTTCTCTAATAATATTACTTTCCTCTTTTATATATCAATATATTCTGGCGCGTAAGCAAGGGGAGGGGGTGGGGACCCCATCGCATATTTGCCTTTTCTCAGAAATATCATATTAAGCTAATAAAAAATTCCCCCAACCCCCAACCTCCCTTCTCAAAAAATGTATCACTATTTTTTAGAAGAATAAACATTTTTATATTCAAAAAAAATGAAGACCCAAAATTAGTTTTATAAAAATTTGATATAGCCAAAGTCCGACAAGTCGACCTAAAGTTCTCCAATAAAATTTATGGGGAAACCCCCCACCTAATAGAGCTCCTCTCCCTTCTTAGCAAAATCCTGGATACTCCTATGAATAATATTTATTTTTTATTTTGTTTCTTTTCCCTTTTTCCAAGTATATTATATACCAAAATAATTCAAATCAACTCATGATATTCAAATGAATCAGGTTCTCCCCGTCTGATGATATTAGTTTTTATATGTTTTTTTCATAGAATATCTAAATTGTGGGTTAATTATCATTATATATCAAAAGAGATCATTATACTGTTGAATGACAGCAGTTGTTCCCAAGAAGGTTAGGACCTGGACTGAGATAGCAGAGCGAGCTATTTTGACTCGGATTTGACTCCCCATGCCCAGAAACTATTTATTAAAAAAATCTGCAGAATTCACTTTCGCATCGGACCGTAATCTCTGAAAATGGGTGTATAA